CCGGCCCAGACAAACTTTTAAACACAGGTCAAAGAAGAAATCACAAGGGAAACATGGCTCAGAGGAAATTTATAGCTTTAAATGTTTACATTATAAACAAACAAGGTCTAAAATCAACGACTTAAGATTCCATCTTAAGGAGTTAGAAAAAGAGCAAAGAAAAGCTAAACTAAGTAGAGTGAAGGAAATGAAAAAAAAAAAACTGAAGGACCCTGGCACTTGGCCCACACCCTCTGCCAAGTTACCTCATTGGCTGCAGCTGCCATGGGAGTCGGATGGTTGACAGCATCGCCCAGCGCAATGGCCAAGCGCAGATCCTTTTGAATGTATTTCAGGTAGAAATCAGGCTTAAAGTTTCCTTGCAGGATATCTGAGGAGAAAAAGCCACTTATTAGAAGACATCCAAGGACCCTAAATAAAAACTCATCTGCAGTACATCAGGGCTCAATACCCAGCAATTCTAAGCAGCACAACCCTCCTGGCCTCTCCTGCACCCTCAGACACCCAAGAGCTGGAGCTGCCAGGTTGTGCCCCCAAATCCCACCCACTGTGTCTCTGGAGCTCCTCTGACTAGGGGCGTGGACTGACTGGAGAGGGGCATCTTTCATACCCAATGAACTCCTGAAGAAGAAATGTTCTGTGACAGTTGCCTAACTCACTTCCCCAGCTCTGATCAGAAATCAAATGCAAGAAGAGGGACCAAAGGCAACTTACTTTGGCACTTCTGGTCCAGAAAGATGCTGGCCAACTGTCCCTGATTGAGGATGTCCAAGAGTGTCTGCTGGGACTGGCCCGTCACCTGGGCCAGGGTCAGCCCCTCGGCAATGGTGGCCATGAAGCTCCCTTGGACCATGTTCACAATCAACATCATCTTGGCTGCGTTGCCAACTTCACCTGCTCAGGGCAAAGAGTCACAGTCACAACCCAAGACTCTGCAGCCAGGGCCTCTCTGCCCACCCTCACTCCTGCACCATCTCTGTACCCAGGGGAGGTTCCATTCACCTGCCCCTGACAGACCACCTCTTCCTCCTTCTAAGCACTGACTATGTAAGTCAGAGGAAACCTGCCCCTGGGGCCCCTGGCAGAGAGGTCGTATGGGATTGATGCTGTAATCAGTGTGGTATAGAAGGGATGTTCCCTTCATCCCCCAACCCAGCCTCCAGTTCTACTGTGGCCTGATGGGTGGGCAGGCATGTTACCTAGAAAGAAGGAGGTCTTCCCCATTGCCTGGAAGCAGCTGCTGCAGTCCTCGTATAAGCCCCTATCTCCAGCTGCTAAGATCACCAACATCCCGTCATTAGACAGCTGCTGATTCCCTGAGACTGGTGCTTCCAGAAAGCGGCCCCCCCTGGACACAATCACCTGGAAAGGAAAGTTATAGCTTCTAGAGGCTTTGACTCTCACAGGGCTCTCCAGACAGGGAGCAAGGAGTGTCCCTGGGTGGCATGGCTTCTCATCACACCTTCCAGAGTTGGAGGGTGGGAGCAGGTGGCCACCATGTGGAGGTCCCAAAGCCGACAGCTGGACCCAGGGACTAATGGGGTGGAGGGTCTGTCCTCCAACAGAAGCACAAGTCACAGAGCAGTAGTAAGAGAGAAACTGGGGTCTCCACAGACGCTCCCACTGACTCTGAATTTCTTACAAAGACCAAAACTAGACCCAAATACGACCACACTAATGGCTCTGTTGAACACACTGCCTACAGACATTCCCCTTCTCTGACCACCCTCAGAATATAATGCGTTCAAAGTCACTACTCCCTGGCCCAAATGCTCAGGGAGGAGGGACATTTTGCTAGTATCAACTGTAGACAGCTGCTTAAACCACAAATGCCAAGCTGGTGGCCTGGACTGCTTCTCACTGTAAGGCTGGCAGTTCCAGGACTCGATGCCCATCCCAGCCGTGCAGCAACTTCCCATGGCTGTTGAGACCAGCCGTGACCTTGAAGGTAGAGCGTGAAGACAGGCTAGTCCCAAGGCCACGGGTCTCTCTTCTTCTCTCTGGCTTTGGTGCTAGAGTAACCAAATTGCCCACACTCGTGCACGGTCAGCCTGAGTGTTGGGCTCCAACAGAAGGGATGCTGGAGAGCCAGCCCCAACAAGGCTACCTGGGCCAGCTCGGTGACCGTGTCAGCATCCACCGTTGACATGTCCACGTAGCACTTTCCAGGGCGGATCCCTTGCAGCACACCACTGGGGCCCAGCACCAGCTGTGGGGACACAAGGGAGAAGCAATAGCCCAGGCTCCCAGACAGATGCTCAGGAGCCCCTACAGACCTAAGATGAGAATCCCGTTGCTTTTTTGGTTCTTTTTTTTGGTGACAGAGTCTCACTCTGTTGCCCGGGCTAGAGTGTCGTGGCGTCAGTGTAGCTCACAGCAACCTCAACTCCTGGGCTTAAGCAGTCCTTCTGCCTCAGCCTCCCGAGTAGCTGGGACTACAGGCATGTGCCGCCATGCCCAGGTAATTTTTTTCTATATATATTTTTAGATGTCCAGCTAATTCCTATTTGTTTTAGTAGAGATGGGGTCTCACTCTTGCTCAGGCTGGTCTCGAACTCCTGAGCTCACACGATCCACCCGCCTCGGCTTCCCAGGGTGCTAGGATTACAGGCGTGAGCCACCGCGCCTGGCCTTTTTTGGTTCTTTTCCTATTGGAAGTTAACTATTAAGGCCAAAAAGGGAAGAATAATTAAATAAGCAAGGGTTAGGAAAGCACCCCAGGATGCTCCCATTTATCTTTAAAAACAATGAGTGTGCATTTCTTTTTATTAAAAACCCCCCATTTAAGACTGAACCTCAGTATTTATTTTTGAGGGCTTCTTTGGATTTATTTGGATTAGACCAGTCACCGGTTTAGCAAGACGACCTACTGCACTTGAACTTTTAAAACATACAAATACAGCGATAGCTAAACATAGAAACTTGGCACTTGGACCAAAGGCACACTCCACCCCAAAGCTTCCAGCTCGACAAGAATACATGGAGCCTGCGCAAGAACCATGTCAGCACAGACATCAGAGCCCCAGTAGTTTTCATGCCTTGTTCTGAACTAAATGGAGTCTGCATTCCATTTATGCCAACACCCCTCACAATGGGAGATGGCCCCCAGACGGAAAATTCAACCCCCGACATGCAGACACTCACTCGGTGTGTAGGGGAGAAGGGGAGGAGGCCAGCCAGTTCTCCTGGCTGTGACCTGAGTCGCTGAGGGAAGGGAGGGGATCCTTACGTCCTTGGCTGCCTTGGGATCCGACACACAGGCGAAAGTGATGTCACAAGTTGAAACAACTTCAGCGGGGGTTCTTCCTAGGCGGGCCCCCTCCTGGATGAACAAATCACACTGCAAAAGTCACAGATCCTAACGTGAGCTGCAGGCAGTGCACCACAAACATGCCAGCTAGGCCAGAGATGCGCCGACTAGCCCTCCTGGCCGACCGCACAAGGCAGGAGGCCGAGGCCAGAAGCCTGGGTCACAGGACTGGACATCTGCCTTTTTGAGAAAGTGGACGGGGTCTCTTAGGGAACACCTTGTAGTGTGTTTCTGCACACTGGGTGCCTAGAACGCTGTGCTGTTTACAGGTAGCATAAGACAAGTGTCTACTGTGTGAAGAACAGGGTGTGAGCAGTACCCAGCCCCTCTGGCTACCAGCACTCTGCTGAAGAAGCGGGGCTGGGCGGGGAGGCCAATACCACGCTGCCGTTCCTCTTTGGGCTCTCTCCACACTGCCATAGGGGTAAGCTTCTGGGGGGCGTAAAAGTACTAACTTTCCTGATAAGTAAAATCACTAAGAGCATCCCATAGCAAAACACATCATTAATATTTTGGTGTATTTCATTTTTCCACAAGCATTTGAAAAAGTAATTAGAATAATGGGGGCTTACTATTTTGTTTCCGATTTTTTGTATTTTGTATGATTCCATTTATCCATATTGTAGTCTTTCATAATTATTGTTTATAATGGATGACTGCAGAGTATTTCATGGAGAGATATACTTTAATTTACCTAATGGCTCCCCTGAAGTTTAATATCTAGCCTTTGTTCAATCTTAAAGTGATACCAACAAACATCTTCACATACAAAACTTCTGGTTTGAATTTAGGTCTCCATAAAACAAGTTTCAAAGTGGTTTCAGATTTTTTTTTTTTTTTGAGACACCTGGGCTAGAGTGCGGTGGTATCATCATAGCTCGATGTAACCTCAAACTCCTGGGCTCAAGTGATCCTTCTGCCTCGGCCTCCCCGAGTGCTACGATTATAACAGGCGTGAGCCACCATACCCGGCCTTCTAAGTGGTTTTAAAATTCTTAACAAAGATAGACAAACCCAGCTGGGCGTGGTGGCTCACGCCTGTAATCCTACCACTCTGGGAGGCCAAGG